TCCAAATATCTTAGAATGGAGAGTTAGAAAAAAAATCAGGCGTTGAGTGATCATGGTCTGATGATGAAGCCGATAGTGATAACGGTATTGTGACATGGTAATTCATATGTTAATCATAATACATACGATGATTAATATTACTTATTTGTGGTAATGCTAGCATTATAATTGCCACGTAAGAATCTAACAATATATTCCTATACCCACGCTACACCAAATAGATGCCAAAGAATAACCTCAAATTTGTTATTATTCCCAATCATTCTTGATTATTTCTATCGAGATCTCTCCTTACTCTAACTTCAGTTTGCACTGTGATGAAGCCTACGATCCCTACACATCCATTTCAAAATTATAATGCATCCTGTGCAACTTTAACGATAATAATCATTAATAATAATTAATTACTCGAAATAGATTATATTTACAAATGCATAATATAAAAAATAAGCAGTACAAGCCGTACTTTGTCTCTGCGACGCTGAGTGATACATCGCCACCACCAAGATCTTCTTTTTCACCCGGATCTTGACCACTGTTTGCTGAAACAAATTCGTCCTTACCGGAACTCTTCTTCTGTTTGGCTAGTTTTTCGACCGCTTTCACTGTTTTACGTTCCTTGTTATGTTTGTGTTCACTTTTAATGTGTTTCTTCTCTTTTTTATGATGTTTGTGCTTGCGAACTTTTGTTGAATCTTCACCTGCATGTTTATGATGGCCGCCGTGAGCTTTATGCTTCTTTTCTTTCTTCGGCGCTCCCATTTCTGAAAAATCCAGAAAGGATAAAAAAGGAAACGCAAAGCACAACGATTTCGGGGCAAAAAACACTTAAAACAAAATATATAACACATGACAGATTTTTTAAAATGTCAGATCGAATGACATGACTGGCGCGGTTGTTTCGTTACGCAGACCGAATTTGAAACCATAAGACTTTGCACATTATCTGCTCCAAACCTGATTCAAGAACTTATGGTTTATAATCTTCAACTAGTCGACCGTGCATAAAAGCAACTGGAAATATGGAACAGCTCTTTGAAATCTGCCTTCACCTTTAGCTTTTCATTGCACAGTTGCAACGCTATGATTGAAAAACTGAAACTTGTCGTACTTTATTATAGATACTTAGTAAATTAAAATTATATTTACATCTTGAGCTAGGATTCACCAAGCTATCATCTGGATCAAGGGGAATTTAGTTACGTATACACTCAACGCGTGTAACCATAACCGTAGGTATGGTACGTTTTGTCATACACAGCACAGCATAGGTCTAATTGTTAGCGGATGAATTGCTATGCTTTTCTCGGTTAGTTGCACTGGATAGAAGAAGTGCAAATTCCTTGCTTAACAGAACCAGGAACTTAGAAGAAAAAACATACGCCGTGTTCGAAGCTTAATTGGACACCTCTAAAATGCAAAGTAAACAAAGTAACTACTGTGCCACGTCCACTTCCACGGCTACCCCCTCCCCCCCCACATGAGTTCAGTGTCATTGCATTGCACAAGAGACTGCGATGTCTAACCAACACACAAACAAGTTTTACATTACAAACGGAATCACGTGTTAAAATCAACATTTTAGAGCATAAAAAATATGATCTGGAGTAACGATTCTTAACCGTTTCTGTTATTGCCATAATCACCAAGACCAAAATCCAAAAAGACTTCTTACACATTAAGGTGAAGAAGGCCTGTAGGGTGGATGAAATTCATCTGGAATTAATTACGTATATAAGAAAGAGAATGACAGAAACGCTCCATGTCCTTTTTCGTCAGACGTGAACATACAAATGTTTCACAGGAGAATGGGTGTGTGAAGTAACTGACCCTATATTTAAAGGAGCTAGGTGGCTGAGTGTTCCAGTTATCATGATGCCACACTACTGTCAACTCTTGAGACTCTTTCCTCCTTGATTAACTTGGAAAGGATGAGGCAGACAGTTTATGGCAACCTTCGCCCAAATCAAGCATTCGTCGGGATCGGGTACGCCTGCACCGACCAAACTTTCAGTAAGCAATGCCGATAATTTTAATTGCTTTCGTTTTCCAGTTTTCCTGACTTTAAAGCTATATTTGATACAGCAATCGCCCGACGATATGGAAAATGTTTAACTGCCATGGGATACCTTAGCAGATCGTTTCTATGTCGGAAGAGATATATGCAGAACTATGTCTATTGCGAAAGTCGAATTATAACTATCCATGTAGCTGTAGTTCGCCGCTGACTGTAAGCTCGCCAGGGAGATGTGCTTGGGCCTTGGCTATTCTCGATTTTATTCTTCGAAACAGAGCACACCATTATGGATGGCATTAATTTCTGTTTAGGCTTCGATGACGATAATATTAAAATCTGTGGAAACTTGAAACTGTGGAAATAATTGCAGAATCAAAATTTCTGAAAGATAGTATTAGATAAAATCTCTGCTAATGACTAGGATCAGCACACCCAAATGCAACGCAAACGTCATAATTCGTGCAAAAGGTACAGTAGAAAATAATACATCGAACAATGATATCTATTATGATGACAATTAACTAAGATCAAATGCATAAAATAAGATTTTCTGCAGTCGCCAAACCGTGATGAATCTCTGATGCGATATCGAAAACTAAAATAACTAGATTCAAAGGAATAACAACAGTACTTTATATACCTCGGCATGAGCAAGTCAGAACTTAACATACCGTAACGATTATAGAAGTATTCAAGTTCCTTGACGGATGAGAATAGTGAACCCTGGATAAAAGCGAATTTTGTACTTTGCGTAAATTCAGAGTATTTTGCACGGAAAAATATTCAGAGGCATAAAAATATTATCAATTATTAATTGGTTAATATAATTGCTGAAGCGCGAAATAAATCCCAAAGATACTCATGCTGTTTTCCATGCCAAGAGAGTAACCTTCAGCTGATAGTGAACGCATGCAAGTTGATCGAGTGTACATTTAACACAAAATGACATAGGAGATATTACCTGCTTTTTCAACAGATGACTGACTGAATCTCGGTAAATTGTGGATGTAACTAACCGAACATCCGGTTCAGCTGCAAAATATCTAGTTCGCACGATCAGCTGCATGCTTAACCGAAATGTGCATTTTAATTGTATATTCAAAAAAATATAATTCAAAGAATATATATTCAAATGTCTCCTTTTGTGCATGGTAATTTAGAAACTTTTCGACGTAGAAAACTTTCGTTAATATACAGGTAATGCGTAACACCCATGATTATTTGCTCCAATTGTTTCCTTCTCCCCTTCAAGAAAATTTTCTGTATGTTTATCT